TTATAATGCCATTTTCTTTGATGGTGGGTCCCAGATTTCTTTTAAACCGTTGTTTGTTTATCTGCTAGTCCAACAGCACGCTCTACTGTGTTCTGTGACAGAGATGAGCTTTCTGAGACTTTAGAGAAAGCCCCATAAGCCCTGTTAGTTCTGGTCTGTTTGCCGGTTCTGTTCGCTCCGCATCCTACACACACACACACACTCAAACACACACACACACACACACATCAAAGGCAGTGGGCTTGGCAAGTCTCTGCATTTAGCGTTGAGGCTATGAGGCAGATCAGATCAGCAGAGACACTCAAGCTCCAGGCTCCTGTTCTCCTGTCCGCTGCTTTCACAGCGAGCACAGCACTAGCCGCTAGTCAGAAAACACAGGCAGGTCACAAGTAGCACGCAACCTAAAGTGACCACTTTTGTGCAATAAAAGTGCGTAATTATGCTATTTGATATGTTTTAGCAGTTAGCTGATCTCCCACATCAAGTTTTTATACATGTACAGGTAAAGTCAAATTGATTTGCACTCCTGTGAATTGTTTTATTGTTTATTAAATATTTCCCAATTTATGTTTAACAGCAAGGACATTTCCACAGTATGTCTGATATATATTTTAAGCTCTAAAAACCATTTTAAAGCCAATATTATTAGCCCCAAGAGACAGTCCTAACCTTCCACCACCACCCAATCACAATGCACCTGCCCCTTACGACTCCCCCTGTAGGTGGTGGGCCCGCAGGAGGATGTTCCCACGTCATTCCTTTGGGCTAAGCCCAACCTGGCAACCAGGCGCTCGCATACAAGCCCCAGCCCCAAGCCTGGCCCCAGGGTGGGGCCCTGGCTGCGGCAGATGTCACGGTCCTCGATGTTAATAAGTTCATAAGGGGTTTTTGAACCGCACTTAGTCTGACCTGTCACCTGTTCCTTGTAAAACCCTACCAGGTTCATTAGCCCCTGACAACATAGCTCTCGATTTAGCGGTAAATCTACATTCCTACTCTCACCTATGGTGACAAGCTTTGTGTCATGACCGAAAGGACAAGATCTCGGGTACAAGCAGCTGAAATGAGTTTGATTTAAATGACCCCATAATTTATTAATTCTCATAATTCTCATTAGAACCCCATAATTGACTTATCTTCGTAAACACAGTTGGACTCGTTATAAAATGTATCCTGGCTCTTCCATGATGTGTATTCTGCTTGTTAAGTGTGATGTCATGTGAAGTGGCTTCCAGGTCCAAACGCTCTATCAAACTGTATGGGGAGACTCATCAAATGGTAATAATAAACGTTTACAAAGCAATGTCATACCTTCGAACATATCCATGCCTATATGTGATGGCCAAGTGACATCAAAATATTGATGTTTTTGATGGAATAAGTCCAGAGACTTTTATGTACACCATGATATTATATAAAATTCACTTTAATGTGTGATATGACTAAAAAGTGGCCATAAACGAATTTTCTCAATTCAAATGAGTAGCGGATTGGACCCAGAAACAGCATTTCATACATCACAACTTAACAAGCAGATGGTGTTGCATAGTGACTTTTATTTTGAAGCTTATTAAAAGCACATAAAGCCATCCTAAGATTAATTTGTAGTGGAAGCTCCAGGAGTTGACATATCTTGCTGAAACCACTAAATCAGACAGTTGTTTACACACAGAAGTCAATGAACAGGAAAACTAGTTAGCTTGGTGTTATTGAATAGGGTATATGCAGAAGGACTTTTATTTTTCAATAACCCAGTGAAAGTGCTTTCCATGAACTGAATGACATTACAAAAATCACTGCGTTTAATGTGTGTTTTCCTTAAAAGTCAATGATCTTGACTGCCTGATTGATATACAATATAAAGTGGGTTTCAGACTGTACAAGAAGCACTGCATTTAAATCCATTTTCCATACCATGTCTTTAAAATATGAACATTTATTTTACCCCAGTATTTTCAATGGAGTTTCTGTGCTTGCCTGCTGCTACTGACGGCGCTCGCATTTAAACAGTTTTTCATCTCGTTTTACGCTTGAACAACTACATGAATGCTTATGTCTCTTTAACTGATTGTATTTTAATTACATTACAACATCCATGCTGTAAATGGGACCGTACAAAATTGAAAATAGTCACATTATCCGTTCACCAGAAGTTTATCGGTATGGGAAAAAACACTAGCTGTACACATAACCTAGCACTTTATAGACTAGCTTACAATGGCGGATACATGTGTCTACTGATCTTATATCATGTGTATAACATGTCAGTGATTGGAGTTTATAATAAAAAATGTTTATGTTAACCCCCTGGCGACTTATGGGTTAGATTGACAACAGAGTTATGCAATTTTGAAAGCTTCAAAATAAAAGTATTACATAAAAGGTTACGATAAAGATGCCTTCTGAGACAAAACACTATGTTTTCACCAGGTTGACAAACCAAACTTTTCCAATATTCAGCAACAACTGCAGTGTTTGAAGGTCAAAGTAGATGAGGTTGTGTGTTGTGACAACAAGTAAAGAATGTCTGAAAGTTTGCAGACCAATAATCATCATGGGGCAGCTTTAAATAAAATCATAATGTCATGATAATCTTTCCTTGACAACTGCAAAATGACTTACAAAAATACTGCACAAAATACTAAACTGGCCGTCGTGTTTTCCAGTGCTGACTGAAACTGCATCCGCAGCATAAAGCATATACCAGAGTAGTTGGTGATTCATTCTGCAGTGGCGACCCCTGTAAGCCAGGGATTAAGCCAGCCTCAACCTCTGAGACTGCAGCTCTGCACAAGACTTTTGGCCAGGGGAGAAATTAAAATGGTCGTGCCGAACTGAGTCTGGTTCTCTCAAGGTTTTTTTTCTTCACTCTCCTATCGGTGAAGTTTTTTTTCCCTCTCCGCTGTCGCCACTGGCTTGCATGGTTCAGGATCTGTAAAGCTACGCATCGATGAATTTGCTCTTCAGTGTTTGGACTCTCAATAATGATTTCAAACCACACTGAACTGAGCTAAACTGAACTGAACTTAAACACTAAAAACTGAACTACCCTGATCCAGTTACTATGACCATTTATGTGAAGCTGCTTTGACGCAATCTACATTGTAAAAGCGCTATACAAATAAAGCTGAATTGAATTGAATTGAAAATGGAAAATGAATAAATAAATGGCCGGAATACAGAAATCGGGCAATTGGGTAAAAGTACAAGTACCCTAATAAAATATTACTCTAGTATTAAAGTGTAAAGTACATGTTTTATTAATTTACTTCAGGTTTTTTTGCAAGAAAATGTTCAAGTATGATGATAAGTCAACTAAAATATTCCTGTTTTTGTTGGAAATTAGATTATTTTACTTTCCCAATCGGCAGATTAATTAGCTCGTTTTAATAAAATAAATCACTTAAAATTGACTTGAATAGAGCTGGGGTGCCCAAACTTTTCCTTATGAAAGCCCAAAAACCAAACTTGATGGAGGCTTGTGGGGCGAAGGCAAATATAGGTGAGGTAATTTACCATGGGTGATTTCCTAATTTATGTTATGTTTAAACATGACTATAAAAAATTGCTTTATATTAACTAATACAGTATTTTTTTTTAACATTTTATAATGAACTTATTAGAGAGAAAACAAAACAATCTCATTCATAACAGAATTACACTAGTCTTTGCCCTGATTTGCTTGCCGATGCCGTCTGCATTGTCCTCTATCTGTCGAGTGACTGTATTTACATTTTTTTAAAATCTGATTAATTTACAACATTCAATTATAACATTTAATTTCAGTTTGCTTTTTTTAAGCTTAGCAATAAAACAAACAAATAAGGTTGCGTCAAATTAGAAATCACGATCTCTATGTTAAAATCATTTGCCCCAATCCTATTCTTCCCCAATACTCACTCTCCTCTCAGATGGGATGGTGGGCCAAATCAAAGGTTACAGCTTTGGCCCGCTGGCCCTACTTTGGGCATCTCTGCTTTAGAGGTTATTTGCTTGTCTAGAAAATCCTTCTTGATTTAAGATTCTTTAGATATGTGGGCTAAAATCAAGACAAAACTAAGTGAGTCAATTAATTGTTAATAGTGAAAACATGAAATCTGAAAATGCTCAAAAACTGAATGAACTCCTCATATATTCATAAAGGACAGGACTCAAAATGTAATATCCATTCAATGCACACATTTTAAAAGACACTTGTCTTTTGATTTGTACCAAACAGAGTGCTGCAATTTGGATAATGAAATAACTGAGCGCATCTAGACAAAGGACACAGCGGTGTGTCTGAACACACATCACATCCAGACACAAGCTCATCACATATTGTACTGAACAAACATGTAAACATTGAAATGAACAATGAGTAAAAATCTAGTCTAAAAACATGAATGCATTATATCAACTGCAGTATAATACACCATATCAGAGTACTAATGCATTTATTTGACTATCCAGCAACACCCTGTCCAAACAGTGTCATGTAAAAACACTGAATGTCCACCTTTTACCCTTGAGCTCTGTGTGAGTGCGTGCATGTGGATGTCCATGTGCTCGACTAGGTATCCGTGTGTGCAAAACACCAACAGTGAATAAATAAATAACGCATATATATCTATGGCATCTACATGACAGCCCGTGTGACTGACATGGCTTGACTTTGCTGTATACCCGCCTCACAGCAGCTCGAGATGTGTTTTTGCCAGGCTATTGTTCTTCAGTGTTTCCTATGCAGATGACAGTGATGGCCTCAGCTGCATTTCAAGATGTCAATATTGCAAGAAAACGAATGGATTATGCTGTGTGTGTCAAGCAAGCCAATGCACACACTCCTAACCATGTGTGTTATTATTATCTTATAATGCATATGGGAGATGCGGTACATTATAAACCTGCAATGCATGCAAATATTTCAATAAACGCTGGTAGTCTTCGGTTATTGCATATGATATTTACAAATGCGAATTCAGATGAGGATTAATAAGCAGGTTTGATTAATAGCTTACCTTTCAATGGAGAAATGATGCGCAATCCCTGACTGTCATTCCGTAGTGCTTATTAAAGTGAATTATTCGGACATCATCAACAATTTCATCTGTCCAGTCTGTTATTTTGCTCGGAGCCTGGATGAAACGCTGTTGACTCCTGTGCACACCGCGGGTGAGCGGCTGTCAGATCCTCTGCTGTTCCTCTATTGTCTCTCCGTTGGTTGTGTTGGTCTGTAATGACACCGCTGACCCAGCCCACAACCACATTGACCAATTAGAGAGCAGAATGAGAGAGCGCTGGAACAGCCCACTGCAAAGATCAACCAATCAGAGCGCAAAGTGAGACACCGCTCTTCCAGCAGCGGCCAATCAGAGGAGAGAGCGATGGATCGCTGGAGTCAGGACTTTCTGTCTCCGTACAGATTTTTCTGTTTCCCTGAGGAGCTTGAAGATTCTGGAGGAGCCGCAGACACACACAGGTGAAGACTTTCAGCTCGTGACATCAGGAAAACTGTAAAACGGTGCATTTATATAATGATTTTCACTTAGAGTAGAGTAAATCAAGCTCTATTAGTAGTAATGCAATATTTATAGTCCATCTATCTCGACATTTGGGCTTTAGTCATTTCAAATATGTCAAATTCTAGTTTAACAAGACTTATTAAAAGACTGTGGGCTACTTAAATTAGCAAGGAACTCAAAATTTACTGTATTATAATAAATAAACACACATCAGGGGAACTTCAGGGAAAACAAATAGATTCATTCATTCATTCATTTTCTTTTCGGCTTAGTCTCTTAATTAATCCAGGGTCAGCGGAATGAACCGCCAACTTATCCAGCACGTTTTTACGCAGCGGATGCCCTTCCAGCTGCAACCCATCACTGGGAAACATCCACACACACTCACTCACACTCATACAATACAGACAAGCCTATCCAATTCACCTGTAGCGCATGTCTTTGGACTGTGGGGGAAAACGGAGCACCCGGAGGAAACCCACGCGAAGGCAGGGAGAACATGCAAACTCCACACAATCGCCAACTGACCCAGCCGATGCTGGAACCAGCGACCTTCTTGCTGTGAGATCTAGAGCTGATTCTCTGACACCAGAAGCAGACGACAAGCTTCTGCAGAGATTAAATGCAAGTATACGCTATGGTTGCTAGAAAGGCATTAAAAATGCTGCTTTAATGACTTTAACAGAGAGAATGTAATCATGTCCTGCACTGTCTGTGTTTATGTGTGTACCTTGTATTCCTCACATCGTCGAGACCAATTGTCCCCACAAGTACAGTGATACCAGTAATTTTTGACATTGTCTGGACATGTTTTTGATCCCCATGAGGAAAACGGCTCATAGCTCACAGAGACTGAAGTATTGTAAAGTAATATAACAATGCAGATTGTGTCCTGTGAGGGTGGTGTTTAGGGGTAGGGTTGATGTAGGGGGAGAAAATATACAGTTTTTATTGTATAACATTATTATAGCTATAAGAAGTCCCCATAAAGATGTACAAATGTGTGTGTGCATCATAAAATTCACACAGTCAGCTTATGTCAAGCCTCATAACAGTCCATGCTGAGACACGTGTGCAAAACCCAGATAGCAGAATTGATTAAATATTGATCTAATAGTGATTCATTATTGATTTCTATGTAAAGTAAGTAATTTAGGTTGAACATATATTGATTTCATGTCCATCTTGATCTATTATTCATCACTGAGATAACCTCATGTCAGGGTGAGAGTCAGATCAATCAATCTGAGGTTTTGGTGCATTGATGGGACCCACATTCCTATTAAAGCTCCTTCAGTCAATGATGGAGACAATGCTGATATGAAAGCTGTTCATAAATGTGCAGGTAGCAACTTGTATTTACGTCTTTAATGTTTTGGTGTTACAACCATTGCACTCCAAGTGGGACTCCTTTTCAGCCCTGGAGTTTCAAGCCAGACCGGCCCACCTCAGTTCACGACTGATTATATTAAAATAAGGTCATTTCCAATTCAGTTTCTAATGACACTATCACGTCTTTTTCAAGAAAACAGCGGCTTTAGAACTTGAAATGTTCCAACAACCCAAACAGAATTATATGTCTTAACAATAAAAATGAAAAAAAAATATATATATATTGAATAGGTAAGGATCGAACTCAGGTCCTGATGTGTCGTGGCACAACTTGCTGACCACTGGACCACAATAGCACTGTTGTTACAAATTGGTCTATTGACGTCTTAATCTTTTTCTCCCCTTTCTAGATTTCTGACCCATTTATGTCAGATTTATAAGTGAATCATCTGATTTTCATTGAGCAGGTGTAATATTCATTAATATTAATTATTCAAATTCTTATATTCACTAAGGTGCCGCTGTTTGGGGTCGAATAATAGTTACGTTTAATCATTACCCTGCAGGCTGCGTTTTGCTCATGGGGCTGCGAGAAACTAAATAAAAAGAGTGGAGCTGCGTCAAAATAATGAATAAAAAGAGTGAGGCTATGGTCAAATACATGAATAAATGAAAAAAGTGCGACTGCTGAGAGTGCAAGCAGCTAGGGACACCAGCCCTCGGGGCCAAAAAGCGGACCGGCCCACCTGGAATTCTCCCGGTCCTCCCGATTAGCCAATCCGGACACCAAATACATTCCCGGAGGTATGTGTTTTTTTTTTTTTTTTTTAGCAGTTGTTAATATGGTGAATCCACCAGAGGCCACTGTGTATGCTTTTTGAGGGCACACATTTCTGTCACGAGTGCCAGTCATGCCTGCTCTTCCTGTGTAAATCCACCAGAGGTCGCTGTCGGTTGACTGACCGACTGACCAACCAACCAATATCCCAACCCACTCCCTTCCTTAAACCCATTCGACAGTGTTTTCAAAAGCAATCCAGAAAAAGAACAGCCCTCACCTGATTATTACCATGTTTTCATATTTTACCACATTCTTATTTACCTCATGATTTATTCAATTCAATTCATCTTTATTTCTCTAGAATACAATGTAGATTGTGTCAAAGCACACTGCAAAAAATGCTTTTCTTACTTAGATTTGTTGTCTTGTTGTCCAAATATCTAAATATTCCTAAATCAAGAAGAATTTTCTAGACAAGCAAAACATATTGTCTTGTTTTGAGAAATAATATGCCAAAATTTAAGTGAGTTTTTCCTTAAAACAAGCAAAATAATCTGCCAATGGGGTAAGCAAAATAATTTTAAGCCTGGTTTATACTTCTGCGTCAAGTGACCGGCGCAACTCACGGCGCAAGCAACGCGCGCAGCTGTGCATTTATACTTCTGCGTGCTGTCTCCGTTGGGCTGCATTAACACTTCAGAAACGCTAGTGGGCAGTGAGGTGTAAATGTTCCTCTGTGTCGAGTTTCTTCGCTTCTGTTTTGCTATTCTGAACACTTCCTGGATGTACAAGTGACTCAAACTCGCTCATTTTGAGGCAGGAACCGGCGGACGTACAACAACTTTAACCATGAGGTAAACACAAAACAAAACTTTCCATCCGGAGCTCCTTCACGGACTCCACACTTGTAAACAATCGCTCGCGCCATTCCCGCGGCTCTCGGTCCCGCCCAGACTCGTCGGGGCTAGCAAGCCGACCAATCACAGAGCTTGCGCTACGCGTTGTTGCGACGTGTAGTTGCGACGTGTAGTTTACAATTTTTGAGAGGTGCACGTCAGTGACGGCGACGGCCACGGCGATGGGCTATGCGTCAGCGCCGTAGCCTACGCCGGTGTTTGACGCAGAAGTGTATAAATGCACAGCTGCGCGCGTTGCCTGCGCCGTGAGTTGCGCCGGTCACTTGACGCAGAAGTATAAACCAGGCTTAAAATTATTTTGCTTACCCCATTGGCAGATTATTTTGCTTGTTTTAAGGAAAAACTCGCTTAATATTGGCGTATTATTTCTTAAAATAAGACAATATGTTTTGCTTGTCTAGAAAAGGCTTCTTGATATAAGATATTTTAGATATTTGCACTAGAAATAAGTCAAAAAATCTAAGCAAGAAAAGCATTTTTTGCAGTGCAGCTTCACATAGAAGATAAACTGAAACAGTGTCAGTTCAGTTTTCACGGTTTAAGTTCAGCTCTGTTTAGCTCAGTTCAGTGTGGTTTAATAATCACTACTGAGAGTCCAAACAGAGAAAATCCATCGATGAGCAGCTCTAAAAGTCCCAAAACCAGTGGCGACAGCGGCAAGGAAAAAAAAACTTCACCAATTGGTGAAAGGCCCAGAGGAACCCTCAGTGAACCAAGAGTGCTATGAGACACACGTTTAATTGTTTTTTCTTTTTTGATCTATTTCTTATCTTATATTTCGATCATTCACTGATGCATTTGTATCGTTTTTTTCTTATAATCAGCTTTAATTCCTCGAACACCAGCATTAAACCTCCGACTTCACTAATAGGTCAAGAATAGGAGGTTGGAAATGTGCAGCTACTGTTTGAGATGAGATTTATCCAAATTTTAATACCTGCCGAGGACCATCTAGTTTTTTTATTATGTCCTCCTGATGCAGAAAACAGTGAAATTCAATAGTGTGTTTAAACTTTGACTGTACATATGAATAATGTCATGAATCAGGCAGATTAAAACATTTTATTTGATAATGAGAAACATGAATACAGTCAAGTGTCTCATTGATTAGTCCTTTGATTGTCTAGAGCCCCCAGTCTGGGAGGTTGTAAGCACAGTTTAATAATAAAGCACGGTTTATTAGCACTGAATGAATTTCAGTGAAATGTTTTAATGAGTTCCCCTGAGCTTCACCTGTTCACAGACGTGCTTTGGGAAGTGTCTCAGTAAAGCTCAGAGATCTGGAGATTGTGCTCACGCTGATGAAGATGTGAGTCTCCTGTGCCGTGTGCATGTGCAGCCCCAAACAGCAGTGCCATGTGAACGTGACATGAAGGCTGTGTGAAATCCTCCATTCTTCAGCTCTGATGAGGCTTTCTGTCTGTCTGTGTGCTGAACTGTCACATGGAGCACAAGGTGAGGCTGCGGCTGGACTGTATTGTTCAAAACACAATCAGTACTGTACTGTGTACAAAGCCAGACCGCTGCTCATTTCAGAATCTTTTCTATCCGACTCACCTCACCTTCATCACAAATCGTTCACGTTATCTCTACATAAAATGATTTAGTTTACTTATTTTCATTGATAAACTTGTGGATTTAATGTAATACAACATATATTAATGTGATT